ATATGAGAACATTTTACTTGGCGGTTCTGAAGAAGAAGATTTTAAAGTGTTTTTTGCCGTTTTTAGGAAAAACAAAATGGCGGGAAAAGTCACATGACCGCTAAAGTTTTTATTTCTGATATTTATTACACATGAGTTGTATTATATACCATAACAAAATCTAGACGCCTAGACCCTCAGAAAGTGGTCAAACAGCCACTTCCGGTTTTATTTCAATCCAATATGGCTGCCAAATTAATTGGCCAATCAAAATCCTGAAAGCATGTTGCACCAGTTCACATTAGGGACTATCAGTATAGAGCATTATCAGACCATTCCGTTCAGCGGTTTTCTCAAACGGCTTGACGAAAAAAGTTACGGAAGAAAGAAGAAAGAAGAAAGAAAGAAAGAAGAAAAAACCGAACAATAAGAATAGGGGCCACGCCCTACAGGCTTGGGCCCCTAAAAACCGAACAATAAGAATAGGGGCCACGCCCTACAGGCTTGGGCCCCTAATAATAATAATAATGTTACTACTTCAGTTTGTCCTGTATTGAATCACAGAGAATTTGTTATCTGAACAAGTCAACATAATCTCTTAGGTAAGAATAACCCTGGGAAATGATGAATGACTATTTGTTGTTATTTCTTGCAGGGTCTGTTCTCAGAAGCTTGGTCACGTGTCACCAAGGGTGCTGTAGCAGAGTTACTATTAGCTCTCACTAAATTGGAAGAAGGAAAGAGATTGCCGACGGAATGTATGAAAACACATACTGTAAGTATGGAATGTGTGGCTTTGTGATTGTCACGTGTTAAAATCTGTGATGTCAAATACATAGTCAAACCATTGGATGCTTCTGGCAAGCAAAAACACGATAGTTTGTAAATGAAGACGTTGTCACAAGTTACCCAATCAACAATTTCTGTGAAAAACTGTAAACAGGCTCTTAAACAGAAGGATTATAACATTGACCCTTCCCTTTTTTGTTGCAAGCATGCTCAGTAACATAGAAGCATGGAAGTACATTTTTGGGGAACTAGAAACTTATCTCTTCAGCAAAATCTGCTTAATGGCATGCATACATTTGAGTGTACACAACATAACTCCTGTGTTTTATTGCAATAGATGTGGTTATCCTTGGCATCATTATGTGTGTTAGATCAAGAGCATGTTGAAAGATTATCGTCAGGTCAATGGGTTGGTGGATCAGAAGGACAACAGAGTAAACATAAGGTAAGGATAATAATTTCACCCAAGCATGTCTAAAGTAGACCTATTATACTGAGTGAAATTATGACCACACTGATATAACCAATCAGAATCATGGTACCTTGTATTTCTATGATATATAAAAGATAATATTTGGTAATCGTGGTCCTAAATAACTAGTAAAAATAGCTAAAAATAGCATTGCTCGAAACGTCTAGCTATTTTTAATAGTTATTTAGGACTACGATTATCAAATATTATCTTCTATATATCATATTTATCAGTCCCAGCAGCGTTTATTTATTTGTATTTCTATGGGCTCTGTGCAAGCTTCTGTGGATATCCCGTTGAAAAGGTGGTGAAAACAGCCAAAATTGAGAAAACTCAACTTAACTTTGAGGCAATCGTGAACAACCAAAATTTATATGTTAATCTTGTTATGCTGTTTAGGATAGTCTCAACAACTAGCTTAAAGTTGAGTGTTCCAAGAATTTTCGATCAGTTTTTACCGGTGATGGTTGCCAGGCAGTCAAAATGCCAGGATGTTAACTCTTAAATATCTACTGATCCAATCTCTCTTATAAGTATAAGTTTTCCAAACATCACAAGAACTTTGGTTCTGTGCCA